AATACTTAATTTATCCCCAAAGTAAAAAAAAAATGTACATATTAATTACATTTATAAATAATAAAAAAATTAAATTCTACGCCTTGGTCATTAACTCACTATTGTTTATTCGACATTAAATTACTTACTTTGCAACCGCCATATTTTTCTTACATGTTTTACTTAGCCTAATGAATGTTTATGTCTTTTAAAATTTGAAAAATTAACATTTTTACTTTCATTTATTATAAATCGTTTTTCCAAAACAGAATCCTTACATTTGCCTTGATGCACCATTAGTTTTCATTTTTTGGAGATCACGTGGGCGTTAAACACGTGTTATAGTTGAACCGTCCTTCAACAAGAATTAACGTTGTCAAGCTTTTTTTTTTTTTTTTTTTTTTTTTCGCTGTTTGGGTAATATAGGCCTAGAGTAGTTTATTGAGTAAGTAGGTGCTTACCTTTAGGTTTTTCTCTCTTTTTCTTTTTTCTTATTTCTGTCCTTATTCGAGATTGTGTCTTGTTTAAGGGTAGTTACGTGTTTTGATAATTTGTCCGTTCGTTCCACAAACTAGACGCAATCCTCAGTCTGTTTTCATGCTAGACGCAATCGTCAGGCGTGACGATTGCGTCTCGTATGAAACAGCCTGTCGCCTCTAAGTGTTGATTTCAATGTTCACTTTTATATTTACACACGCTTTTTCTCTGATATTGAGCACATAAATATAGCACACCTTAAGAGTATATTTCTTCATATATATATATATATATATATATATATATATATATATATATATATATATATATATATAGATACATACATACAAACATACATACATACAAACAAACATAGATAGATAGAAAGAAAAGATTAAATCCGACAAATATTTTTATATATTTTCTGTTTATACGTTTTTTATGGATAGAATTATTTGAGTAACTGCTCTGTTTTTGTAAATAGGAATCGAACCTGTACCTTATACGGAACCGTCATTTAGCCTGACGTGCTATAACCGTTCAGTCTCAAAGAACTTTCGGTTCTGAGTCTGAACGGTCCTAGCATGTCAGGTTAAATGATGGTTCCGTGTAGGATACAGGTTCGATTCTTTCCCTGCGAAATTTCTCGACCATTGAGGCCGCTAAATGTAAACAGATCATGTAGTCAAATGAGTGTATCCATAAAAACGTATAAATAGAGGATTTAATCCATTTAATATAATATGGTGTTATGGAGACCTCGAGGTAGTGTAATGGTTAGCAAGCTTGTCTCGCTAGAACAATTACGACTGAGTTCGATCATTACTGGGTGCCCCAAACTTTCGGCCTTGTGTCTCATTTGAGCTACGCTATAAAAATCACTATAATATGCTGTTATTATTTACGTTAGGCTACTTTTTCAGAGTAGATATGATAGGTCGAGAAAAATTATTGAAGATATAAAAGCAGTAATTCGAGCTTTTCAAAACCGAAAGTCCTCTGTGGCGGAACGGTTTTAGCGGGATAACGGTTCTGTATAGGATATATGTTCGATTCCTGTCGGAGAACGCATATTTTCTACGAAAATTCAGACCGGCAAATGCAATTAATACTGTTTAATTAAAAAACAAAGCATTTACTCAAATAAGTGCATCCGCTATATATATATATATATATATATATATAAAAGTGAACATAGAATTCAACACGTAGAGGTGACAGTCTGTTTTATGCTAGATACAATCGTCAGGCCACCAATATACAAGTAAAATAAATTGACCTAAATTCATCCAAGTAAATAAATAAGCAAACCAATCCCGATAATGTTACCGTTAGAAAAAACAAATAAAGATAATCAACCCAAATAAACAGAAATTAAAAACTGTTCCTGCCAAAATAATAGTGAGAATAAGCTACAACAACCAACCCCAAAACCGAACAAATAGCTTTAATTAAATTCTCAAACCAAAAAAAAAACTATTAAATAAGTGATATAAACAAATTTTTACTACGTTAATAAAAACACCGATTAAAAATAAGTAAATTAATAAAATAAGAAACAAAAAATAAAATTCAATAAAAACAAGCAAAATAATTTAACCCAAATAAATAAATAAACGACTTCCGGTAAAATAACCGCCATAATAGACTACCCACAATGCACCACTGACCCGTATATGTATAAATAGCCGAGAAAAATAACAGCACACGTGGCCTGACGATTGTATCTAGCATGAAACAAACTGTCGCCTCTAAGTGTTGACTTCTATGTTCACTTTTATATTTTCACACGCTCTATCTCTGATATTGAGCACTTTATCCAATAAATATAGCACACTTTAAGACTATATTTCTTCATACATATATATATATATATATTTATTTATATATATATATAGTTTATGAAAAACTAGGTAATCCGTATAGGTAAACCTGGTGAGGATAAAACCAGAGAGCCCAATGTAAATCTAGAGCAAATAATTTTAATAAAATAGAACCATTTAAGGTTCCATGTAATAAATTATTTCACCACAGCCTTTTTTAAAAGGACTGCGGATCATCAGACTTTACTTCCGCAGTCCTTTTGAAAGGGCTGTGGTGAAATAATTTATTCCATGGAACCTTAAAGTGGTCTGTTTTTATTTAATATATATATATATATATATATATATAAAAGCAAGGAATAAGAGTAATTTACAAGGCATTTTAATGTAAATTTTAATAGCTAAAAAACACCGGTTTCGTCCCAGTCTTATCAAGTTTACTCCTGGCCCCCCACAAAAAATAAAATAAAAATTCCTTCATTCGCCATCTTCAATTTAATTTAATTCACACGTTTATTATTTTATTTCACAGGAACAAACGTGATAAGTGTGGGACTAAACCGGTCGTTTTTAAGCTATTAAAATTTACATGAAAAATGCCTTGTAAGTTACGCTTATTCCTTGCTATTATTAAAATTTGTTCAAAAAATATTGCTTAAATATATACATACATACATACATATATACATATATATATATATATATATGTGTGTGTATGTGTGTGTGTGTGTGTGTGAGTGAGTGAGTGAATTTCAATGTTTAGTATTAAAAGAACAGTTGAAATTTATAAGATGTAAAAGCCCCCCCTCCCTATTTCCGACTGAATTATTATTAGCCACAAATAAAAATTTGTTTTATTTCTGATTTGATACAATTTCTTAATGTTGTTAAATTGATTGCATTTTTGTAGACCGGTTAATGATTCTGTTAAGAAAATTAATCTATGGGAGTAACGAAAGATCAAATTTCTTCGAAAAGAATAAATGAGGCTAAATAGAATAAAAATGTTACTACAGCTTGTGACAATCATAAGAATAGAAACTACAGTAGAAAAGTGATCATGACATTGATAGCCGACGTGATTCTTATTGGAGCTAGATTTATAATGTTTCGTATCTGAATGTAGCAAGCGTAAATTGCAATCCTGGCTGATGTAGAAATAAATGCCAGAAAGACAAAATGGTAAAGAGATAGAACGAACAGCAAGGAACATAAACATTATTGGTGAGGGTTGGGATCGGAAATGTTATTGGTAAAAACAAACGAAAAACGCAAAAAAAGAAATATTAGAATGAAGTTTATGAGAAACGTGACAGGAGAAAAAAATTCGAATGGAAACAAAAGTAAAGGGAATCGAATAATAAAAGGAAGAAAGAAATCAACTGACATGAATATACGAGCGTGTAAAGAAAGAGAGAGGAAAAATAAGATTAAATTTAAAAGAATGAGCTGCCAAAGGAGGCGACGGAGAGAAGAAGAAATAGAAATAAAAAACGAAAAGGAAAGAAAGAAAATGGTTTGCAGGATATCACCGTTTAAGACGCGTGGCGGGTGAACGAACCTTTTGTCGGCAGTTCGTCTGCTTTCAGGTGTAAGAAGAGATCTGATTAGATTTTGGTCGACTCTCTGAATGATTTTTTTTTTCTTTAGTGTTTAAGGCCGCGAATTTCTTGCAATTTTATTGGGTGACATTTTATTGCATCATTCGTCTGCAAGTCAGGCGCCATGAGTGAGCGATCTTTTGCCCTCGGGATTGCCTCAGTGGCCTCAAATGTTAAGGCATGCACGCTAATACTTTATCTTTATATTTAACTACAAAGAAATAAACACATATATATTTGGTAAGATTAAAAGCAACATAAACATTGCACCAATGAAAGCATATATATATATATATATATATATATATATATATATATGTTGCGCGATAGTTATTGAAAAGTGCTCAATATCTGTGATAGAGCTAACATATCCAATTGTATGAATATGAGTTTGTGACCCTGGGTTTCACGCTTTTGCGATCATCACAAAACTGTTTTGTTTTGCGAAAATTAAATCCATTTATGCACGTTTGTGTTTGATTACTTTTGGTGGGGGACTCAGTTCTGTCTTCGTTTTGGGCTGATACTCTTACACACACACACACACACACAAAAAAAGAGAGAGAGAGAGTCACGGACGCACATATGTGTACGTATTATAGTTTAAACAAACACATCCGTATAAACAATACGAGATTAGATGCAGATACATATCCATGCGTACGAACATAGATACATACGCAAGTTTAATCTTAAAAAACCAAACAGTTCAGCAACCTTAGTGATCGAGGCTCCTGCCATGCGAGCTCCAACAATTTGCCCTTTTTCGAACTCGGAGAGGTCACGCATTTAGCTTAAATTTTACGAAATTCCACAAATAAATAAGACAGTAAATCAAATAAATGAACGTATTTGCAATAGAGATAACCTACCATTACGAAGTTTTAGTTAAGTTCTTAATATAATAGGTCTTTGAAATATAGGAGTGGATTTTGCAACTGTTCCAATAATTTTGACAAACCTCTGTATATATATATATATATATATATATATATATATATATATATATATATATATATTTATATGTGTGTGCGCGGGTGTATATGTGTCTGTTCGTGTGTGTGTGTGTGTGTAAGTGTGTGAGTACCAGTGGGAGGTACGTGTGATTGTAAAATACCCC